TAAGGCTTGCTGTAAAGAGTGTTATCAAGGCTGGATCTGTCAGACCAGAGGGTTTTTTCTATTTGTCTAGCAAAAAAGACAACATTACTTGTGATGTGGACAAAGTCCTCAGGCCGGACTCAAGCACAATGACATGATGCTGAGACAGAATGAATCTCTCATTGACCCTGATTTTACAATTGCACAACTTACAGTATTTGAGTGTACTGTAACATGCTATTCATTTAGAGTTTTATTGGACCTTTTTGGCCTTTGCAGTTGGACTGCAGTATTTTTGCAGTATCCAAGTGCTGAATATATACAAACATTCAGTACTAGTCAAAATTCAGCACAATACTGTTATTGCAGTACATACAGTAGGCCTATACAATATATTCACCTTACTCAGTTGCAATTACTATACTTTTTTACAGAATTACAAAATTGTTTACTCAATACAATATACATTTTTTCTGTAATGTTCTGGATGCTGCGTGTTCTCTATTTTTCTCTGTAATGTCTAATGAATGCTCTGTAGTGTTTATTTTATTACAGTTTTTTACAATTGCTATGACAATTTTTTCAATACTTCTATCAATTTTCCTAAACTCTTAACGCACCAACACACCTACAACACACAATTGACAAAACAGTTCATTTCATGCTCAAAATCACACATTGCAAACTAAACTCCAACACTAATTTTCAAATTACAATAATACACTAACACAATACACTACACTAACACTAAATACATACACTAACATATGTTCTCTTCCAACAGGAACATTTAGTCAATCATAGCACAATATCATAAAAACAATAACATCAGACGGAATGTTAACTTTGTCAGATCTGCCCTTATACAATACTATATTGTATTGGTCATAAATTGTGTTTTGCAGTTTTTTTTGAAGACTCTCTACATTTTTGTTTAATTGGGTTTGGTAAATGCATGCATTTTGTTTCTTTTGCTACAAAAATTCAATACAAAAAATGAATGACCCTTCTCAGAGTAGCTTTATAGAATGTACGGTTTATGAAAAAAGAAGACAGAGACAGAATTACTGAAGTAAAGGCTTTATTTGCAACAGGACATTACTGCAAGATAACAAAAATGTGCAATACAGTTGCAATTTATTATATGAAAGCACAAAATATACAAACAGAAAAAGATACACAGAAGAATAAAAAAATAAATAAAAAAGTAATCTTCTAATCTGCCTGGTCTTCTGCATTCGGCCACATGTTCTCCTCCACATCACACTTGTTATCTTCTTCTTTGGTAAGGTATCTTTTGGTATGCCTTATCCACCCCTGGCAGTGTTCAGCTGTGATGTCTTGGCATGCAGCATTCATTGCATCCAGGAGGGACATTTGGTCAAAAACCTTCTATCTCCAGGTTGAGAAAAACTCCTCAATGAGGTTGAGGAAAGTGCAGTAAGGGGCAAGGAAAATGGACATAATTCTCGGATGGGTGTTAAACCAGTTTGTGACTGCAATGCCACATTGTTTCATGTGATCACATATATTGACAAGTGGTTTCCCACCCGTCCCCTTTCTACCTCTGGCAGCAGTCTTTCGTGCAGGTCTTCTAAAATCTCACATTTATGCAGGAGTGCACTTTTCCACACAAGATCAGCCCAAAGAGGTCCTCTTGTACAGTATACTGTATGTTCATGTGATTGAAAGAACCTTAACACCTGAGTGTGTTTCCTAGATGGGAATCAGCTGTAATTTATAGATTTGCATAGCTGCATAACATTATATATTTGCAATAAGGTGTTTCTCATTAATGAATAAAAAACGGGATATATTTGTGTTTCAAATTCACAATATGAACAGCTGTTCACTTTGACTTTAGCCTATAAACTTAGGTTTAGAACAACATGTTATCTGTTCTGACATACAGTATGAACGCATTTGAAAATTACATTGTTTTGGTCTTGGTTGAGCTTGTGTGTAAAAGAAGTTCAAGCATTTGAAATTTGTGTTAACTATGCATTTTGTGTCAAAGCAACAAGAAATTTGTTAATTGTATAATCTACACAGACGGATGTTGTGCTAACTGTGTTAAGTGTTAATTGGAAAATTGTTAGAAGTATCGAAAAAAATGTCATAGCGATCGTAAAAAAACGTAACTCATGTGTGTGTGATCTGAGAGCACTGTTTGATTTTGAGTGCAAGTGAAATGATTTTGCAGCAATTGTTTGATTTTGATGGAAAAGTCAGAAGTTTCGTAAATGTAGTTTGAGTATTTGGATTTGTGTTTAAGGTTTTGAGAAAATGAGTGATGGTTTCAAGAAAGGTGTTTTAGCAATTCAGAAAAACTTTAATTTAGTCTTTTTTGCTAGACAAAGAGAAAAAACCCCTCTGGTCTGACAGATCCAGCCTTGATAACACTCTCTAAACCTTACTCTTTCTCTCCTCATCCTCCACTTCTTACATGTACTCTTCCTCCTCTCCTTCTCAGATTGTTTCCATCTATTGTTCATATCATCATTCACTCACCTGTGCCACTTGTGCACTCTGAGGTGGCTCATGTTTTGTACAGTTGGTTTGATCACATCATTAGAAACAAGTGCACTCTAAAAAATGCTGGGTTGAAAAGGGACAAACCCAGCTATTGGGTTGTTTTGGCCCAGATTTTTTTAGAGTGATGTGAACAATTTTGAATCGTTGTGTGTAAACGATGACAACTGTGCTTTAGTTGGGTTTAACTTTTGCCGCTTGTGTTTAGCATTTTGCAGCACAAATGCATCACAGTTTGATAAGTGTTTAAGTGAATGAGAATGTCTTTAGAGTTTTGCAAAAAGAGTGCATGAGATTTGCAAATAGAACTTAACTGCCTGAGCGTGTTTACGGTTTAGCAGAAAGAGTGCTTTATTCGACAAATTGGTTTAAGCTATAGTGAGAATTTGGCAATTCAGAAAAACTATAATAGTATTCCTATCAGATATATATTTTGTTAAAATGTGGATTTCTCAGGTGATAAAAGACTTACATTCCTTAACACTGAAACCAGTGTTTATATGTAATGCTGCTTACACTGCTATTAACATATGCCAGTGTAGGTATGTAGATCCATTACATATGTGTGTACAAGTTGTGAATATGCGTACAGAGCATTGGGGCGGTGCTGGAGGGGGCGGTGCATGTGTGCCTGCAGGGCCAGGTATGTTAATCAGGTATTCATTAAGATTAAATACGAAGACTAAGGGTTGAGGTGCGATTGAAAGCTAGGTAAAATACGTATCTAATTTTCTAGATTGCCACCTAGCTTTTTAATTTCAGCAGGTACTTGGCAGAAATTTGCATGGCATTTAGGCACTCATTACAATATTAATCTTCCCACAAAAGTTGCAAGGGCTCAAAGGTTAAGCATGATTCCTACATTAATTTTACAACGACTTTTTTTGACCTGTATAAAGATTCTCATTTACAAAGGTGCTCATTTGCCTCACTAAATGGCTCATAATGAGAGCAAAGATAAAGTATTGAAAGAAAAAAACGTGAATCAGATGTGTTGCTGTTCAAAAATTAGTATTAGAGAGACATGTTGTAGAACTTTTATAACATACTGTTTTATACAGACCGTTGTTCTTTATTGAAATCAACCTATATCTTTAAAGAGGGTCTGTTCTTCTGTTAATATCAGTGAATTCATTTTTAAATATGTTTAAGAAAAAAAAGATGTTCATTTGAAGTGACATACAAAAAAGAATCAGTGCTGTCAGGTTTATGACACGAATGGTACAAGAACTCAACATGACAAATAACAATTATGATCTACTAGAAATTCTAAGCAAGATTCACATGCCACTTCAAATTAGGCCAAATGTTTAAAACCCAGAACTCTATCATTTATAAGTTACCTAAAAGGCGTGAATTCATTTTTAAATATGTTTAAGAAAAAAAAGATGTTCATTTGAAGTGACATACAAAAAAGAATCAGTGCTGTCAGGTTTATGACACGAATGGTACAAGAACTCAACATGACAAATAACAATTATGATCTACTAGAAATTCTAAGCAAGATTCACATGCCACTTCAAATTAGGCCAAATGTTTAAAATCCAGAACTCTATCATTTATAAGTTACCTAAAAGGCAATGTTATATAACAACAGATGTGCTTACTCAAAGCTTAGACAGTAAAGTTAGTTCACCTTAGTTTACCTTTATGTGTTGCACGTTATACAGTTAATAGCAATGATGTTCTGGATCTTTAAAAAATCAGTTTGATCAAAAATATGAAGCATGATATTTTCCATCATATCTTTCAAGTCTACTTCAAGATAATCTTGTGCTTGTTGATGTACTGCAATTTTAAGACTGCAGCGGAGACTGTGGGTTAAATTAAAAGGTGATGCTGCATTATGTTTGGAATGGGTGGTCACTGTTATGGAAGGACAGACTGTGATGAACAGCTGTCATATTTCATATTAATGTCAATATTAAAGTTAAATATATGTGTTTGAAGAAGTCTAATATTGTGAAATTATAAGTACTACAACTGTCATTATTGACATTCACAATTATAGGCCACAAGCCACAATTGATTGCAAATATAGTTCCACAATAATAAGTGTTGTTATGGTAATTTTTTATGACATTTATTTTAATAACTTTTATGACATTATTAACAAACATATTATAAAGCTTACCGGATCAGTAATGTACATTCACATAAAAAATCATATCAAGGAAAATGTATTTTTTAATTACATTTACATTTACATTCATTTAGCAGATATCACGCACTATTCTTATGTTTAGAAATAAAACTGATTTAGTAAAAAAGGTTATGGAAGAAAACGAAAATAATATATATATATAAATAATATATATATCATCATCTGTCTCTGCGCGCAATCTTTAAAAGTTGTATTCGCTTTTGAGAGTAAGAACACAAGTCCCCGCCCAGCACTGGCAAATGGCCAATAATATTTAAAGGCGTGTGCCATCGCGGTGCTTATTGGCTGAGAGAGCTGTCACTCCAGCCTTTAGTGGGCTGGCTAATTGAATCGCTGAGTGCGATACACTTCTATCCATCTCACTCGCGAGGAAGGTAGTTGCACATTACCGACTATCAGCAGTCGCTACCGGAGCCGCATGAGAAACACCGAGTGAAAGCCGCGAAACAGTACGAGGAGCCAGCAAAGTGTGCTTGACTCAAAAGTACGGAAAGGAGGAAACTTCGCATAAACTATGGCCGTATCAGCAACTCCTCCGGTGCTTTCACCGACCTCCGCTCCCGGGGGCGCGAGCAGCCTCTTCCGTCCCGACTCTCTGTACTCCAGCCCGGCCGAGTCCCCGCGACTGACCAGCAGCATGATCAACTCTTTCATCACCGGCACCGGCGCCGGCAGCACCAACGGGAACGGGCCCGGCGGTGTCCACAACAACGAGTGTAAGATGGTGGAGGTGCACGGGGTGAAAGTGGCCTCGTTCACCCTGGACGGCCAGGAGCTCATCTGCCTCCCGCAGGTGTTCGACCTGTTCCTGAAGCACCTGGTCGGCGGACTGCACACCGTCTACACCAAGCTGAAGCGGCTGGATATATGTCCGGTGGTGTGCACGGTGGAGCAGGTGCGGATCCTGCGCGGACTTGGGGCCATTCAGCCGGGCGTGAACCGGTGCAAACTCATCACCCGAAAAGACTTCGAGGCGCTTTATAACGACTGCACCAATGCCAGGCAAGTCTTCTACCTGTCACATATACAGCTCACATTTACACTCAGCTGTGGAATCTGAGGTGCTTTTCAAGTTCATTCAGAACTAGCAGAGTTGTCGTACTTGGAAAAGTGTCTAACACTTTATGATAAGTTTAATAAAAATGATTCCATGCATGCATAAATATGAATAGTTACGAAAATATATGAATTACACGTTTACCCCCCTTTTTTTATTCTTGCTTATACAATGACAGCTCTTTGGACTAAGGGTCATACTTTGGTTGTATTTCACTTTTTTTTGTTATTTGCAGCTCCACTGAGTCAGGCTCACATAAATAGACATCGATATCATTTAAGCACTTTTATGCACCCATATCTTATCCAGGGCCAGATCTGGAGTTCTTGTTTGATACTCCATTTGTCTGGATGATATCCCACGTCTCATTTGGATAAGGTGTTGGGCCATGTTGCATAAATCACTGAATCACCTCTCCTGGATCTGTGGCTGTGTTTGGCGTAGAGATGTTATTCTTAGCTTGTTATCATGACAGATGCATTAGTGTTCTCAGGCACCTGCAGCAATATCAGCTTATGTGTGTGTGATTGGTGTGGTGGGACTCAAGGGAGCAGTGCACCTTTATCATCCAAGAAAAAAAAGTCTCTAATTATATGTTAGTATGAAAACGGCAGCATCTTTGCTTTTAGTGGAATGACAGTCAAAACATTGTGCATAAAAATTCTCTGTCCGGAAATACACTTAATTTGACGTTTTAAAAGACACTTAACAAATCATTTTGAAATCATTTGTGTTATTTATATAAAAATGAATAACAAAATAATTACACATATATAATTGTATATTACACAATATAACATTTCAATTAAATATAATTTATAAATGATATTAAATGTATATATTTTTAAGTAAAGCCTGTCCCGAAATGTTCACAACCTATAGTAACCTTACAACTTAAGTAACTGCGTATTCCTCTCCATGAAGTGCTTTGCATCAGGTCTAGTATTTCCAATTTTCTATTTCCATTTTCTTACTTTCTCACAGGTAAAAGGTCAGGTATTGAAAATATGTTTGGGGTGAGAAGGTTCAGGAACGTGGTCTTAAAGTGCGCTTTTGCACAGCGGATGTGTGTGTGGAGATGCACGCATGTGTGTTTTAGGGAGCGAGGGATAGAGAGAGAGTGCATATCCAGATGGCCATTCTGGGCAAGGTTCGGTAATTAACCTTTTAACATCCCCAGCACAACCTCCAGAAGAATCCCCCGTCACTTTATTGGGCTTTGCGCAGTTCTGAATCAATCTGCCGTGAACATCTAATTAGAAATGAGAGCGAGGAGAAAGTGAGCGGGGGAGAGACCGTTTTACAACATTATTTTGTTTAATTTTGAGTCCAGGCAAAATGGACAATAAGAGAATGAGGTGCGGAACGCTGCGCTTTTCACTCTTCTGTCAGATTGCAGCATACGGTCGGATAATGAAATTGCCTGAGCAATGGACCCCCCTGAAATTGAATTTGCTCCTCGGCATCGTTGCTTTACAGTTCACCTTCGCAAGCATCGCTTTTATAGTCAGATTTAAACATCATCCAACGTCCCGCTACCAGATGGCTGAAACTAATGTGCGTGCTGCCCCCTCGCCTCCGCTCCCTCCCTCTCTCCTCCTTCAGCACAAGCTCACTGGGAGAAGGGCTAAGCTGAGACAAATGGGCGTCTTTTGCATCGGTTTGTACGGGACAGCCATGGCGAAGCAAGTGAGGAGTGTGTCTCAAAATTGATACTGAGCTGCCTTCTTAGAGGGTGTTCAAACCGGGCAGATTGTCATATTGAAACCAGCCAGACAGGGCACAACAGAATTAAAGAGGTCATATGCCATTTTAAAAACACTTATATTGCGACACAATGGCCAAATGCATTCATCCCGTGCGTGTTTAGGGGTGGGAATCTTAGGGAATTTGACGATACTGTTTCTGTTTCATCTGAATGATTCCCTAACAGTTCCATTATTCCACGATTCTTTGAGTACTGTTAAAGAGTAAATATTATGAAAAAAATATTGCATTTAATGGCCTCATCATTCAAATGGTCCGATCATACATCACATTTCTCAGAACAGATTATATAAAACAATTGTTGCAAAAGGTATTTACAAAGACAATTTAAACAACTTTTTAGAAGTGACAAATGTAAGATAGTTGGCAAGCTATATTTTAAATAGGCCTAAAGCATCTTTAAATAAATATATATATAAAAAATGAAGAAACCTATTCCTTTTTTTGTGTGTAAATAATCACTGATTACAACATAACTTTTAGGCCTCTTGGAGTCGGACATGATGCATTAGTAACCTACATTACTTTATTCACTAGGACCGATTTATAAACATTTCTGGTTCACAAAATATAATTTTAAGTCATACTCTGGTTGCACTTTGATGCACTAAAACGAACCGACTCATAAGAGTCATTCGTTCAGGAATCGGACTACACTGATTGCGCTCTAGGTTTTTGATTCACTAAAAAGAACCGGCTGGTAAGAATCATTCGATCGGAAAATCGGACTACACTGTCACGTTTCGTCCACATTGTAGAGCCCTTTAGGGAACCGAAAGTCATACAAATATTTATTTATTTAAAATGAAACCGAATTTGAAAAAGAGTTGGCTCTGGGTTCTTATTCATACAGAATCATACAGAAAGCGTCCTTTATGAACGCCCAGCAGTCGGCGCGTTCCGAGTCAGCAGCTGAATATATGCTGTCTAGGTAGGGAGCTCAATAGGTTTTCAGATAAAGCCTAAAAATATGCAAAGGGCGCTTTAAAACTTCCAGACTGAAACACACGGAAAGTGTCCAAATCAGCAAACGCACGCGGCACTTACGGCTCGCTTTTTCTGATTTCTCAGCTCGCAATTGATCTCCAGGTTTTTAATGCATTCATTATTTATTAAAACGAAATTTGCAAGCTAAACATAACACTAAACTAGTTTGCACTTGGGGACTGCACTTAGGAAATTGAATGGGAATTACATTAGAGATGAACATCTGTGCTTGCTCTCCTGCCTCTTCGCAAAGGTGGATTGGATTCGTTTAGCTGTTTGTTTTTTTTGCTCCATCAAGTGCAAGAACATCCAGGAATACAAAAGTGCAGAAAGCTCTTGTCCACTAATATTTATTGCATCACTGACCATAGAGTTACTTCATGCGAGTAACATCATAAAAATGAGAGAAACATCCGTGTTTGCTTTCATGCCAATCGCACTTTAGCAGGAGTCGCAGGAAACGTCAAGTTAAATCATAAAACGCATTACTTGTTCGAAAGCCTGTCATATTTTTTTTTCGTCTCTTGCAGCGATTTGCTTTTTTTAGTCATTAATTTAAAATGTGTCTAATTCCCATCGTTGCCCCGGGCGCGAGCTACCATCACACTGCGCGTCAAAGTGCTGCGTTTCAAAGATTCCCTTAAATGCACAATTTGACACCTTCAAGAAGCATGTTCTTTAGATTAATTTGAATTAGTATCTCACTTATGATTGATTCGGTCTGATTTTGAGTCGCGCATAAAGTGTGACCACTAAAGAAAACTTTAAAACAAAGACACAATGACGGACAAGGACTGCTAATACCCACAATTATCTTCACATCTCGTGTCAGGAGCACGCTCTCCAGAGCGTGAGCGCGAGCCTCCAGATCTCTCCGTTGTGTCGCGCTCGGTCCATATGGACAGCAGCTCAGCGCCTGTGGCTACGCCCGAGGCTGCGACGCTCTGCCCGGCCCGGGCACCCGAGACACCCCGCTGTCTCATCAAATCTGCTCAGATTGTCGCTCTTCCTTCGGCACACGTTAATGTCAGCCATTAATTATACATCCACCTTTTTGAATATATCTCCTCCTGACTACCAGGATTTTTTTGTGAATTTAGTATTTTGTCATGTGATTACATTGTTTTAGAGCATAAGAAAAATTTTGAAAAATAAAATTTTTGAAAAATGATATTTTATTAATATGTTATGCCTCTGTAGAGGACATCGGGACTTTAAAAAGTCCTGTTTTTTTTTTTTTGCACATTCACTCTTTCCTTTACCCTTTTTGCACAGTAAATTATGAATTAATACAGTTTGAAGCATCAAGAGGGGCTTCAGTGTATCTGTAGTATGAGAACGGCTGTCATATCTCATATCCAGTGGCCCCAAATGGACACTCAGGCCACGCATTTTCTCTTCTTTTTAAATAGTATGTCATGACTTGTAACGTAACAACCTTCTTTTTTATTATTAGGCTTTTTATATTGTTTTTTAAATTTAAAAGCAAACACAACAACATAAATGAACAAAGAGACAAACAAGAAAATTTTTAAAAACCATTTTTCTTTATGCAAAATGTGTGTAAAATGGCCATAAACGAGTTTTTCCATTATGTGCAATGTATCTATAAACTGTTTTTAAAAAAAATAAAAAGACATGAATAGACATGAAAAGTCAAAAAGAGTGGGATTTTTGTTTTAATCAGAAATCAATTTTCATTTTTTTATACCAAACTTTATATAAAGATGATTCTCAACTATGTTATGAAAGATATTTTTAAAAACCATTTTTCTTTATGCAAAATGTGTGTAAAATGGCCATAAACAAGTATTTCCATTATGTACAATGTATCTAAACTGTATCTAATTTGCATATTAATGTGTTTTTTGGGCAACATAGAATGTACAAATAAGTGCAATGATGGGAGTAATAACTAACAAGATTTTCACAATAATATTTAATAGGAATATTGATATATAATTTTTT